CGTGATACAAACCGAACCGTGGGTTTTGTGAACCGTGCCACCCCTAGTGTCAACAAAGATGATTAATCACTTTCGCATTCAACAAGTGTGTCAGTGTTGTACCCATCTACCAGCTCACATCCATAACTCTCAAGGTGCATCCTAAGCTAGCAAAAACAACCTGAAGTGTTAACGAACATGGATGCAGTGCCCGCTGCTTGGAGCTGAGTAGTGCGACATGCATACCGAAATGGAGGAGATCGAGACATGGCCAGAGTAACGTACTTCGCAGCTTTAAGGGGACCCCAGGCTCTTACTAATGCAGCGACCTGCGGGGGACTAGAACTGAGATGGATAATGTGCCGGGTCACTTAACGCCTCTGCCCCCATCCCCCCCCTCCCCAGATCCCACAGGCACTGTGCCACCAAAGAGGATTAATCCCTACCAGCGAAATTAGCCAGGCGACAGCCGCCCGCACATAGTGGCATGTGGTATTAGGAGCTGAACACGTGCGTGAGTATTTCAGCAGGGCTCAAGAGCGGCTTGCTGGCACACGCTGGCAGAAAACGACCACGGGGCCCCCAGGGGCCACTCTATTTGATCAGGTCAGGCGTTGGGGACACTGTCCATAGCCCTCAGAGCAAAAAACACAGGCAAATTATGCCAGGCTGAGGGTAATGCCACTCACCAGCAGTGTCACAGAGTTTGTGAAACAGGCCTGGCTCTGCTCGTTACTCGGGGGGGGGAGACACTTTAGTGAAACACGGACCGGTAATGAAACATGCCTGTGCCCCCCAGCTCCATCAGTGCTATTCCCTGCCCCCAATTCTTACGTGTCATACCCACAAGTACACACACATAGAGCCAATGTGCCGGAGGGGCCCTTGGGCAGCAGCGTGGTAAAGCTAAGGAACAGGTGAGATTTATTAACCTCCGCTCTTGCCTGCTGCTTGCAGGGACACTGACATTTAATTGACTCCCCTGTCAGGAGGTACAGAACAGTCCTGGACCAGAGATGGGGGGTGCTCTCTTTGAGCCCCCGTGCCTGCTGGACGTTCCAGGGCGGGAGGCCTAGGTGAATGGTCCGTTTCCAGTGCGTGCTTTGGCAGAACTGGGCCGCTGATGGGAGAGAACGGGGGAGGCCGTTAAATCTGGCCAATGTCACCCTTGCTCCCCCCCCCCCCAGGTAACCTGTGTTCTAAGCTGCTCTTCAAAAGTCACTCTGCTGGGTAATTGCAGGGAGGCCTGTAGAGTACAGAGAGAGGCTCAAAAGTGATTAGAGAGCAGTGGAGAGAAAAGGGGAGAGCTGAATTAATTAGCTGCTTGTTCTGCCCGCTCCCTTCCGGTTCTCTTTTGCCTACTCTCCTCTCCTCTACCTATGTGGCTGCGGAGAAATCAGGACACACTCGATGTGGAGGACTGTGCTTTACCTCACAATGGCTAATTATGCAACCCCACAGTTAGCTCTGATTGTGTTTGGTACATGCCATACAACAAAACACCAAGAAAGAACACAGTGCTGGAAGATACCATAGCATATCACGGGGGTGTTTTAGACCGCACATGTAAGAGCACGTGTCAGAGGATACTGTCAAGAAAAAGCTATGTGTATTATAGGGAGAGGGAGAGTCATAGGGATGAATCCTTTAGCCCCTGTTGTCTCTGTGGATTGCGGAGAGCGTCTCACAGGGCAGGTGACTGACGGCTGCCCCCCCAAGATCAGTCTGAAAAGCAAAAAGCAGACCCCAGCCATAGATGACACTGACCTGTGTGTTAATCCTGATGGCACCGATGGATGGGATCTCAAAGTAGTAGCCTACAAAACAGAGGGCAGACGAATCAATATGACGGCAGTGAAGACACAGCATCGTAAGCCTCCTGTTCTGGAAGGTTCCAGGAGCGCGCTGCTGGAGAAGTTTTTAAAATAAGACTTTTACAGAGAAGAAACTTTAAAAATGATTCAAGAAACAGTTCACCTTTACGTAAGGTAGTAAGAGAACAAATAAAACTAATAACTGCTATAAAAGTGATGGAGCCATACAAATAAAATTCACACAACCATTATAGTCATTATGCAAGTTCTTGTTTTGCAGCAAGAAGCATATGCACAATATTGCACAGACACAAGGAGAAGGAGACTGGTCTGCCTGCAGAAAGACATCCCCTTACTTAAGGAAAGAGTACCAACCTGCTTTCTGAATGGCCCTGCAGCCCACCCACACCATTGGGCCTGGGAGCTGGACAGGAAAGCTCTCAGCGGCTTTGTGCCCACAGAGGCCACCTGTCTCCACCCACCAGCAATCAGGTGTAGGAGGGCGTGGCCTCCTGATCTAGCAGAGGAGCCCAGTGACTTGTATTTGTGTTTGCCCCACCCCCCCAACATTCAGAAGGCGAAATGTCAACATGGGCAGACACCAGTCCATTGTTCAGTTGCTGTTTTGTTTGTTTCAGAAGGTCAGTGCTGTTTTAAGACATACAGAATGCTGATATGGAAGAAAAATACCTGGCAGAGGTAGATAAGCAAAGGGAACGGTGTTTAGATCGGGAGGTTAAGGGTAGTAAGGTAGCCATGACAGGCTTTAACACTCCCCGCTCCCCCCCCCCCACCACCACCACCACACATACGCTTGCCAAGCGGTACCGCGTACATATAAATAAACAAACGAGGGTGAGGGACATAGAGGTCGGGCATGAATCACGAGCCTCAAACGCTGCTGTCCTCACTGTGCTCTGTGCGTGTGTGTGTGTGTGCGCCATCTGCCAATTGGTCAGTTACTTAAAACAACTGGACTGGCTCTGTGAGAAGCAACTCACTGGGTCAACATCCACAGCTCCAGAGAGAGGGCTGTTTGCAGAGAGAGTGTCCACCTGCAGAAGCCATCCTGAGAATGTAAAGAGGCGGCAAGCTAGCATTCGAATGATCAAATGATGTTTTCACAGGGCTATACCGGCTACATTCTCACAGACAGACGCTCAAAACAAAACAAAATTGAGACGCCGGACCCAGCATCCGACTGGGCAAATAAATCAATCAGAAAACAATAATAATGCAACAATAAACTTTTTTTCTGTTGCCAATGCAAGGTTGCGGGAGGTATTTTTTGGTGCAATGGACCGAGAGTTTGAAAAAAGTAATGAATGGCTGTTCAGCTAAAAAGCTACCTTAAAAAAATAAAACCTCTTCTTAACCGTGACCTGACCTGCCAACACCCTGCATGGTGCCCAGTGAGCCCGGTTCACCTCTCTCTGATTGCTTTAACACGTCCATGAATGCCTACGGCCGGCAATGTCAAGCACTTTCTGAAGGAGCTCTCAGCTTCTTCCTTTCCTGCTTTCATGCTTTCACCTGAAACCGCAGGCAAAGCCTGAGTTCCAAAGCTGGGGCACGATGTCAAGGCGCTCCTTTCCATCACGGACGAAGGGAACCAAAGGGACAGATAAAAACAGGCCTGCAGCCGAATACACCCCAGACAAAGTCAGATTCGTCCAGATTGGTCTTGTCACCAAGCAACCAGTGATCATGACTGTATTTCTGCCCACAGTGTAGAAGTAATGAGATCTAGGGGAAGTCAAGTCCAGTCATGCTAATGCAGCAGTATCTGTCATTGAGGACACAACGATTTATGGGTTCATATCGACACACACCGAAGGAGCAGCTGTGTCTCACCACCGTCGTTTATGGCAGCTTATGACACAGACGGCCGCCCCGCAACGCCAATAATGTCTCTGAGCCCATTTTCATGCAATATTTGTAAAAGCAATTCAGTATTTTGCCCCATGACCTAGAAGCGATTTTCTCAGGCATATTTTGCGTGCTTTGGGAAATGATCACTCACTTGGTTAAACATGAATAATATACTTTGCTGCACATTCATTTCGGTATTTTTTTTTATGAAACCTATTTACCCTGAAAGTAAGATATGGTGTAACCAATTGCCTGGAGATTATAATAGTTTGTTTGCTTAACAGAAATGCTCATACTTCATTTCATGATGTCATAAAGTATCTTTATGTTTTATTTTAGCTGGGCTTCATGCCGAGAGCAGAAGCCTCTCTTTGTGTCTTTGGAGCTGTATCTGAGTGTGGACCGGGGGTTAAGTGGGGGGGGGGGGGTGAGACTTGTTACTAAGACAGTCTTGGCCGAACTGGAGAGGATGTCCAGTGCTGAGCTCTCCATCATTCAGGCAGGGACCATAAATCTGACTTGCATGGCCGGCCTGCTTCTGAAGGCGAGACAGAGTTCTTTTCTGTCCTAGGGGTGCAGCAGGGCCCCTTCCCGGGACTCTGACAGGACAATTCATCGGGTAATCTTTCAGGTCTGGCTGGGCACGTCAGGCTGGAGCAGGAACTTAGGCAGTGGCTGGGACTAGGGTCACGGCTGGGGTGAGGGCGATGCAGTGTGAGATTCAGCCAGCAGGCAAGTGGCACCACCAGGAACCGAGCTGTGCCAGACCCGTACCGCAAACTGATGGTTTTCCATTGCAAAGCATGCGAGCCGTACCCCAGCCATGCCTGTGTTGATGTAGAAGGGCTGAAAGCGCGACCAAACCGAGCCGGTTGCAGCTAGGTTTGGGCTGTACTAAGGCTGTAGATGATTCAGGGCCAGAAGGTGGTTGTTAATGTTGGAGGGGAAAGTGAAAATGTGGATTTCTAATCGGATCTTTTTCGGTGACCTTATAACAGAGTTGGTCAAAAACAAATCCCCAGAGCACCAAAGTTTCCACTGTATTTCAGAGCAGTTGATTCATCTTCTGATTAGTAAGTCACTGAACTGGTTATTAAGCCACTTAATCTGGTGTTTTATCCACCAATCAGCTGCCAGTTAACATGCACCTAAGGCTATAAAGAGCCTGGAATACACAGCCGTTCACCCCCAGCTCTGAACAGTACTCACTCCACACACATACCAGACTGTAAGAGGCCAAACCCAAGTTATAACTACAAGAAGTAAAATAATAAAATAGCTGATATCAGAGAAGGGTGGAGGATGGTCCTTTATGTCCTTCTGCGTGTTACTGGCATGTGTTTAGAAAAGAAGAGCATGAAATTTTAAAGAAGCACAGCAGTAAATCCATTGAGGAAAAATGTTGAAATTATGTATGTTTTTTGTGGGCATGCAAATGCCTTTTAGTGCCATTGTAATTATCACAGCAGTAAACAGTGCAGAAATATAATCCAGGGTTGGGGCCAGCTTTGGTAAGTATGAAAGATGCCTCAGTTATCACAAGAAAAACACCGTTTGCTGCTGTAATTAATTACAACTTCTGTGGAAGCACTTGGCTTCATTTTCAATTAATTAATTAGTAGTTTTATAAGTGTTGCTGTTGTTTGGTAATGAAGAATTGTGCTTGGGAGAGATTCAGAAACAAAACAGTTACAAAAATATATATTTATAAAGAAAAAAAACAAAAACGAGCAGAAGGAAACTGCATTTGAGCCAGGGACAGTAACCCAACAATGAAGGGTGATGGGAGGGCAGGAGGAGCCCTTGGGTTTAACACTGAAGCAGCACCAGGTGGAAGCCATTCCTTGGCAGCACACTGGAGCAGAAGACAATAAACAGAGAGGCGGAGCTTTCAGAACAGTTAAGTCACGGCAAATGGAGAGTCAATATAGAATCTGTTACTATAGAAACATGTAGATTGCAAGGAATTTACGGTAAAGTTATAAAAGCTACGTGATGGAGGTAGAGAAATGGGACGTCTTGTAGATGGATGAAGTCGGGCAACAAGCCCGTCATTCACAGTTATTAAGGTAATAAGAAGACGTTCTTTTTCCTACCCTGTTCTGCCAGCTAGACGATGACACCCCTCCCTAGACATCCACCTACTATTCATGTTGCACTACCTTGATTACATCCCTCTTCCTTCCTGCGATCCCAGTCTCACCTGGATCTGTTCACCACCCTGAGGGCACCAAGTCTCACAAAAACAGCTAAGAATTCTCAGACTATGCCTGAGGTGTCTCTTGGATGGGGGGGGGGCAACAGTGGGCTGACACAGAGAACATGTTGCGTTCAAATTTTACGGAGTACATACTGAAGCCTACAGGAGATAATATTAGAGCTGAGGACGACACATCTGGCATAAAAGCACACAATTTAGGACACACCAACAGCCACCCACCTTTGTTGGCGCAAGCAATCCACTGCAGGGGGGTGACATCATAGTTATGCTGGCCCACGGAGAATGTAAACACCCGTACCTTGGGAAAGAAGGGGAGAGAGAGAGTGGGAAAGTCCTGTATTCATGGCTGCTGGACATCATCCTTCTGCCTCCACCTACAGGTGGCCATCAGACTCATGAAGGTCAAGCTGCGCCCTACAGAAACTGATTCACACACTTCATTCAGTAGCAGCACATTAAAATCCATATAAAAAAACTGTTTTATGGACAATGTCTGTGCATCTTTATAAGCCATACAGTGAAAAATAGAGGGAGCAGATGTTCTTGAGTCAAATTGTGACCTAGCATAAACACTGATGGGTTTCCAGACCTAAAAAGAGCTTTTTCCCTTCTGTGTACAAGACAAATTCTCAAAACAAAACAATAAAAAGTCTTTGGTGGTACTGACACATATGCAATGGAAACAGAAAGTAGTAGCCTTGAGTTTTACATTTGTGGAGCTGGATGTTAACGCTGGTTTCAAGTTAATGCTAAAAGGCAAAAAAGCAAAATGGCTTCAGTATATATTCAGAGGCAGACAAAATTTAAATCAAATGGAAAGTTCATCTGCTGATGTCACCAAGAGACATTTCTCTCTCTGTTTGCATTAGAAACTTATAGTTTAGAGGAAAATTTAAGCATTGATTGAAGTGTCACTCAAAACAGTTGGTACAGGCATTAGTGATTACTTTTGTAATGATATTACATATGAATATTTCGACAGAAAAGCAGGCAGTATTTATTTTAAAAAGATGGTTAGCAATGCTTTTTATTTTGTTGAAAGTTTAAGCTCCTGGTATTTCTGAAAAATTACACCACGTGTGTCTATAAATTCCTGACATCACAAGTTGTGTGGCGTGATTACTAAATTACTGTTGTGACAAACACGAAAAAAATAATAATTTGACCAAAAATAGGCAAGGCCTTTGTAAGTTTAGGTAATTTCTGTTTTTCAGTATCAATATTTACATTTGTATGACATGAATTTTAAGACAAATACTGCTACATAATGCTCTATGCACTGAATAGTTGTCAATTGAATAATATTCCTCTTTGCAGAAAACAGTACAAGGGCCCCTTAATTGCTCCCACAGGAGCACATGTCCACTTATGACAGACTTCATGGGTGGTGACAATGCAGCACTGGTTAGGGCTCTGCCCTCTGCGGCACCCTATTCTTCTGCAAAACTGTTTTTTTCATCAGTCCAATTTCTGTTTCATTCATTAGCACTCCTTAGAGAAATGGGTCAAAACAACGCCGGAAAGAAAACAATGATTTTTTATAAACAACTGGGGGTGGGGGGGAAATCACAGCTGACAACACTGGACAATTGTGTGCAAGAGGATAAGTAGCAATGAGAACGGGAAGGTCAGGGACAGCAGTCAGTGAAGACGAAAGAGAAATCCAGCTCTGTGTTCATCTGGAGACTGGTGATTAGCAGGGACTTTGTCAGTAGAATAGAGCTGTTAAGCCAGACAACAGATATTTGGATTTCAAGATCAGGGGAAAACTAAGAAAGATGTATGAATCAAGAATGGGTTAGCAACAGGAAAACGGAAAAACACTCAAAAATACACATCAAAGGAAAGAAAGACACATATTGACTGGGGGAAACAATTAGGAAGAGAAGAAGCTCTGACCAGCAATTAATTGCTTTCACATTTTGGGAGAAAAAACTGTGACAAGTCGTCCACCGATGAGTAAAGCAAACCCACTGTCTTGTTTGGCCAGTTGTACTTCTCGAAGATGTCCTGTGCTCTGTCCTCTCCACCATCCGTGAACATCATGATCATCTTGTTGCAGTTGGCTCGAGGGAGGTTGCTGTCCTGTGTCAAGGACAAAGCAAGACAATGAAATGGAAGAGAAAGAAAATCCAACGGTAGCAGATCGGGTGAAGGAGGAAGTAGACTGTAGATACTGTTTTCAGTTACTATGTCAGGCCCAAGAGATAAATTTGCTTAATTATATTATATTACTAGGGCCCCATTTCCATAAAAATAGATAATTTAATCGAAACTTCACAGGCCAAATGTAATTAAAACTACATGATGACATCAGTCCACCAATCACAATAGATGTAGACATGTAGCCCAATTAACTGAGCCGAATAGCATAGTCTCTGTTTATGGCTCAAAAGGCATGTCGCATGGTTTATTTACTATACCCTAATTACAGGGTCTCGGGCCTGATTGATTGAAGGGAGTGAACAGGAAGAGTATGGCCAAAAGGAAAGTTTTTCCAGCTGGAATGCAATAAAAAATCACCTGACCATGACTCTCATACAAATACATTATCAAGGTCCCTGATGAACAAAGATTACCCTACAGTACCGAAGTGTGTGCAGCAGCACAAGGCACCAAATGTAACCTGTGTAAAAAGCAGAGGTATTCATTAAAAGTGATTTAACTTTCCCTGCCCCATTTCACAGTGACAAGATTTAATGTTGAAATTAGCAGTCATGATTAATGCATTTGTGCTAGTCTACAGGTTAGAAATGTGGGTATGCAGTTATACAGTGTTTGTGAAAATTCCAGATCACCAAATGATGGGGACTGACCGTTACAGACCGCTGACTATGTTCCATGGATCGCTCCCTTAATTATTGCTTTCTGGTCTCCTGCAGTCACTTCACTTTCATTTGGACTGAGTTAGTTTGACAAGAGCATTGATATGCAGGCTTGTGTCGTGTCACCCTGACATGATTCTAACAAAGATAAATAATATCATTACAGAAACAGATTTTTTATTATGGTTCTGCCACCAATTATGTAATCCAACTGCTCTGGATACAGATTAAAATGCCTTTTTTCCTCCGGCAGCTTTACGCTGTTTGCCAGATTGATAGGTTACCCGCTGGCTTATATTACCCTAGGGAGACATCACTGCTTTTCAGTAGCTATCTAACCCAGTACAACTGTTACTCATATGAGTAACAGAAGAGAAAAACAAGATACGTTTACTGCTACATGACACAGACTAATAAAGTTACATAAAACCTGACTAAAAAAAATCTTTAAGAGAAATGCATTTTTAAAGCTAAGCAGTTCCAATTAAATTAGCTTCACTTCTATCTAATTTATAGTATCACTTGGTAAACTGTGTAGGATGCATTTGTTTTTAGCTGTAAATGTAATAGGTGTCTGTCATTCTGTGGAGGTCAGATACATTTTCATCTCAACACACTTCTCCTTATCACTTGGAGAAAAAAGTTTGTCAGTTAAATTTGCGTTAAGTATACCTCTACCCTGTTTCATTCCAACAAGCCTTAATACTAAAAATGACCAGACACTAGAAAACTGTAGGGGCAGAATTGATAAGATAAACCCTTGTTTGGTATCATGAGCATGACCTCCAAGCAGAAACCTCCAGAAGCAAACAATGTATTTGTTTATGAAGTCGACCACTGCCTGGCCCATGCAGGTACTGAAGAAGATTGTGGTTTCTCTCCACTCTGCTCAAGCACGGGCCATTTTCTGTTTTTAGACATCAAAGTGATTGAAACACCTCGTAAAGGTTGCGAGATAAGTTAATAGCGGCTTTGTGAAGACCTCCAGAGGCAACAGTGAAAATAGACTGTTTACGGCTTTTTTTAACACAAGATCCTCTGCGGGGAAAAGGGCCAAAGTCGCCACCTTCAAAGGACCCTCTTAGCCATAACAAAATATAGCCATAACAAAGCCTAACCACAAATCACACTTTATTTTAATTTAAACTAAAAATATTATGACTGCGATGAAACAGATTCACACTTGGGAGTTGCGAGGAGTTACAGGTGTTTCATGGGGAACTTAAATAACAATCCTTTACAAAGGAAGACTAAAAAGAGCAAAACAAAACGACAGCTGGAGTGCATTTTGTAAGGCATGGCGGGGGGTTAAAAGTGGGCCAGCCGGGTCTTTTGTGCGGAGGCAGTGCACATTCAGCCCAGCCGCAATTAACTCCTTTCAATATAAATGGAAATAGAAAATCCCAAGAGGAGAAAATAAAAAATCACAGGATAGCAGAGGCTTGTGGGTGTTCCAATTCAAACATTAATCGCTTTCTCAGAAAGTGTGTGCGTGTGTTTTTTTAAAGCAGCGATATTGTCTCGGGATAATTTGCGCACGTGACTGAACTGAGACACGCTAGGGGTGTTGAAAGGAGGTTGCTGTGCTGACTTCCACATGTGGAGTATGTGCTGTTGCAGGATGCTCTCCTTAAACTGCTGTACTCTGAGTAATATGCAGTCACATCATACCTGTTAATTGAATGTTTGACCATGCGATCAAATACATGTCCATCTATGGTTACGTTCCATTAACGCAAACGAAAACACGAAAAAATTATGGAGATTGCACCACGTAATTCCAAAGCATTAATTCAATAAGCCTATCGTGGTGCATGATATTTTTCATTAAAGAAAAAAAAAAGATTGAGACGACCCATGGTTCTTGGAGAAGAGGCCCAAACCAAGAACTGTTCTGAGCAGCCAGACTAATTTATATACCCAACAACAACCTCTTCATACAAGTAATGAGCTGAAAATAATATGCAATTTATACAACAATTACACCAAAATAAGTCAAGGTGACTTACATTGAGCAGCTGCTGGAAGGCGAAGTGGAAGCCAGATTTGTAGTCGGTGGTGCCTTTGGCTGACATGTGCTGAACGGCCTCCTTGAAGATCTTTTTGTTGCGAATGTTGGCCTGGACCAAGTTCCTGAAGCAGGGCACCACCGCCTCAGCTTTCTCATTGAACTGAGACACCCGGTCGGGGGGAAAGAAAAGACAAGAGTCACAAAACCATAACCTCTAATGTATGTTACAAAGAGCCAGTTTTATCTGCTTTAAAATAGATTGCACCTTTACTCCATTAACCCAAATTAGATGTCACACTTGACCAAATTCTGAACACTGGTGCCACTTAACGACACATTATACTTATATTTTTACCTTAATTATACTCTACTGTTGATTTTTCATTGATTGTCGTTGCACTAATTGGTTTAAACTTGTGTTTTATTGCCCATGTATGTCCCTCTACATAAAAGCATCCGCTAACAGATTACAATAAAAATGTAAAAGCTTTGTGGTTATGCTATGTCACATCAACTCTTTTATTGATATCATAGCTGGTACTTTTATTAAGCTTGTAAATAAAATGCTAATTTAAACAAGCATTAAATATTTAGGTATGCCATAACATAAAGACCTTCCATTTACTGTAACTGAATCTAGGACACAATTGACCTCAGCGTGTCACTCGCCACTCAATGGTAAACCCTCCACAGAGGTCAAATGAGTTGTTTTGAGCGATCGGTTAAAGGTATAGAAGTGTGTGGCTTCTGCGCTCCTCATTAACCAATGGGCTGAGAGGACCACATGGACACATCTGTCTCTCTGAAGGAAGGTGCGACTGTGATGGAGCACCACAGACAGCAGGGCCTCGAGCCTTGACCCTTCCAAATGTAGGAGACGCGGGTGGATGGGGAGAGTTCAACCAGGGGGACAATTCCTCTGTCACCCCCAAGTATCATGGAGGCAGCTGTCCGTACCTCATTGGCATGCCGGTAGGATCCTTGGTAATTACAGGCTCCATGCAAAAGACAGGTGCCTTGGAATTGCTTCAAGATACATGTGAATAGATTTAAACACGAGCGTACCGCGAACAGGGTCACAAGTTTTTGCTGCTTTTGAATTCCAAGCGGTATTTTTGGTAGTGTTAGCTTTTTGAATGTTTCTCTTGCTTGAAGGTCACTTACTATTATTTGACATTTCGTAGACAGAATAATAGACTAATCATTTAGAAATTTACCATGTGAAAAGTTGACATTTGTCCATAACACAAAATTCTTTATCACATTTCTTTGGTCTTTTTGCATCTGCAGAGACGATGGTTTGCCACCTCTGTAAAATTTGTATTATGAAGTTCGACTCTAACCTGAAACCCATTGCAACATTTCCTGCACCCCCAGATGTAGAGAGATTGAACCTGAGGAAAAGGCACCCAAAGTCAGTTTGCTGTCAGATTAAGATGTAGTGTTTAGGTGGATACAGTAGAGAGGTGTGTGTGGTTTCTGGTCCAGGTGTGCCATCGTCTCTGAGGGGTAAGGGCTCATAGACTGGGTGATGTGCAAGCAGCTGGCCCCCATCACCTGCACAGCAATCCCACTGGGTGGCCAGCTAAATGGCCCTGCCTTCATGCAATGGATGGGAAATTAATCCTCTGCCTCAGTTTATGGATGTTGACAGCAGTTATTACAGCATCAGCTGAGAGAGGAGTTTTGGGTGTAGGTAATGGGGGCTTCCTCAAGAAAAAAAAGCAAACTCCATATGCTTAGAAAATTTTGTAGTGGGCATCAGGCAGATAGCCTTTCCTTATTCTTCGAAATGCCCAGGTGAGCAATGCCCTGCAACTGGAAAGGGCGAGCGAGAATGGCAGGGGCAGAGCCCTGTAGTACGAACCCAGAACCTCCACATCGGCAAATGTCCGGCCAGCCATTACAATTTATTCTTTCTCCCCCGCCCAGTGGGCAGTGGGTGCCAGCAGCTCAGCCAGCCAAACGAAGCCAGTAAATATGACTTAGGCACAGCGCCGCCTGCCTAATCCCAGCCATCCAATCCACTTTCCCCAACTGTCACGGTCCGTGCCTCTCCTGTCGGCCCCCCTGAGCACCTCCCGGGCCTCTCACCTCGCCATTCTCCCATCTGAGGCCTGGACTGTGCCCAGGGAAAGGCCGTCCGATACATTCCTGTCTTGTCCAAGTCACACTCAGGTTTGCAAGGCTGCGCTTTGCTGCTTCTGTTCCTCCTTCCCCTTGACTTTTCTTCGCACTCCCCCGATCCCTCAGTACTGAGGCTTTGTACGCAGCTCAGGTCACACCCCTCTCTTTCATGAGCACCAAGAATGCACTCTTGTCGTGCACTCCGCTGGTTTTAATGTGGCCTAATCGCACATCTTGACAAAAGTTGTGGATTCAATCCCCGGCTAATTCACACCAAGGACTCCCAAATGACACCCATTACCTCTTAGGCTATCAATCAGCGCAGACAAAACCGACACTATCAGTGGACGTCACAGCTGTTCGGTAGTCTGTTTACTACTGACATGTAACACACAGCCTTGGTAGAGTATTTCTACAGTGTGTACTGTCCACTCCTATATAGGCAAATGTCTGTCGTCTTTTAGCAGGCTGCTTCTCCTCCGAGGGGCTGTGGGGGTCAAAACGCTCAAATGCAAAGCAGGCTGAATGGATTAACAGGGAGAGATAGAGGACGGCACCATCTTGCTGACCACTGACCTTGGACGTTGGCTGTCTCAATGGGGTCATTCTGAATGTGGTATGAATCCATACAGGACCTCACTGAGAGCCCCAGGGGAAGCTGTCAGATACCCAACCTGATAAGCTCCCCCCCTCCCCAACTGACTTTCTAAGGACAACGTTCATAACTTGTCTTATCTAATGCACTCAGCTTCGCCGGTGAACGAGGCTGCAACCCCAGCCTCCCCTGTGTGTGCCGGGGCAATCTTGATCAGTAGGGTCTGTGGAATGCATATGCAGAGAAATATAATTTTTCTGAAACAATAAAAGGCCTAATGAAGGTTTTTCTTCCGAGACTAAATTAGAAAATAATATACGGTTTTCATCAGTTACAATAATGCTAATGAAAACAGCAAGGCCATGAACATAATTGTTTATTCTTTTTTAGACTACAAAGACGAGAGGAAAGAAGAGCACGTTCCTTAAAACATTCTGTCTTCCAATAAGGGTAATAGCACTCTGAAATTCAGCCCTCCAGAGCTGTTGAAATGAACACAAGGGGCGTTGGTATGCATAGCCTACGTAGCTCTTTCTGTTATCATCAATGTCCCTGGAGAATAAGATATAGGTCAATAAGTCATGTGGTTGGGCCACAATGAAGCCCAACTGACACGCCACTCCAACTCACGGGTTTGTTTTAGCTCAAGCAGGCTTGCAAAGAAAGCATTTCCCACTGGATAATTGACTGTGTCTGTAACTAAGCATCCACAAGACAGAGGAACACAGCTGTCATGCTATGAAACTCAAGGTCAGGCATGTCTAAGCAGTGGATTAACCCACATCTCCTGTGTGTTTTTATTCCTGCATATCCAGTGCATTACTGTGACTATGACCATTAGGAGTATGAGTACGTGTCTGTATTCCTCTACATCCAGAATATTTGAGTGACTGTGGCTATTTGGAGTGCGGCCGTGTGTCTGTATTCCTGTATATCCAGTGCATTTGTGTGATTGTGGCCATTTGGAATGTAGACATGTGTCTTTATTCCTGTATATCCAGTGCATTTGTGTGACTGCGGCCATTTGGAATGTAGGCATGTGTCTTTATTCCTGTATATCCAGTGCATTTGTGTGACTGTGGCCATTTGGAATGTGGGCGTGTGTCTTTATTCCTGTATATCCAGTGCATTTGTGTGACTGTGGCCATTTGGAATGTGGGCGTGTGTCTTTATTCCTGTATATCCAGTGCATTTGTGTGACTGTGGCCATTTGGAATGTGGGCGTGTGTCTTTATTC